TCTGTGAAAAGAAAATGTTTAGGCTGACGACATACAGATCAGGAAAATAAACTCTTGTGTAAAGGTATGACTGGACTGGCAGCTCCCCCGGGAAGCACAAATACATACAATTCCAAGAGAATACCCTTAAATAACACCACCTGGTTATAACTGCAGCAGCATGTGTTCTAGGAGGACTTTGTTGTGAAGTGGCTCATCAAACACACTTGGTTTTGGGGGCTTTGGGAAGACGAAGAGAGCCCTGAGCTACAATGAGTTCAGTTGTTAATGCAAGTAAGAAACTCTTTTTCCTAATAAAGGAAATCTTGCCATTACAAGTAACTGAAACCTCCTCCAGCACCTCATGAATGCACAGGACTTTTTCATAGAAGAGCATTAACAAATTTCATGATTTCTGAAAAGGCAGAAAACTTCTTCCTGCTTGTGCTTCAGATCATCCTTTCTTCAGACAACTTCTTTTTTTTTCCCCAAATACCAATTTAGCTGCATATTTACCACCTGTCTTCTAGATCTTACTGAAATTCCTGGTAGAGGGAGATTTTCCACACATAGGTCCCTATGCCCTGGGGCCTCAGGACGTAACGTGGGAACCCTGTTATTTGTCAGGATCGTGCAACGCTGCCCTGGCTCTTGGGGAATGGAGTAGATGGTAGGTTGCACAGTGCTCTGTCACCCTCACTGTTAAGAGTAGATGGTAGGTTGCACCTACCACCTACCTCTGCATGTATAGAGGGAGAATAGTGTCACTGTCTGAGGACATGGTCTGAGTCTTGTCCTCACTCATGTAGCAATTTTGGAAGTAAATCTATAGTGCAGGTTCCTGTGAGCTGGGGAAGAAAAAAAAATAAATGAAGAGCTTAAAATGCTCCAAAATCAGAAAGCAAATTAAACTCCTGATAGATTTCTATAAATCTCATAATGTTTTAGCTTGCATCACAGTTCTTATGTGTTCTGATTGTCTGGGTTAGCTGTGCTGAGGGCTTTGCCAAGCTCATTAGTCTCTATTACAGTAAAGGGTAACAGGCAATCCCTCAAGTATTTTTATGTCATATTGTTTATGGCTTTAAGTAGCACCCTTTTATATTTCATTTTTGCACTAGAAGTAATCAATTCTGATGGCAGAATCGTAACACTGTTTTCTCCAACAGTCTTCATGTATGAGTCATCCTGTATTTATCACAAATAAAGCATGCAACAGTACATTTCAACTAAAAAAACTAAAGCTAAACAAACTGCATTGCCATGACAACACCTGCTCCCTCAAGGGGTAGTTGTGTTTTATGAACATGCTGGAGATTCTGAGACTGGAGGAGAAACATTTGACACCTGCGGAAACTTGGATTTTCATGTTCAATTTGCAAATAAAGGATGACTCTGCTGTAATGCAAATGCTGTAAACTAGCCTGGGGGAAAACTGATTGCCAATTAAGAGGCAAATCCTTCCAATCACATCACCAGTCATACTGTCTTGTCTGGGATTAACGGATAGAGAGAGATATTATAAACAGGCATTTTTCTCACGTGGAATTCCAGCCACAGGAACAGCAATACAGAGAAAATCATTAATTCAAAATGTAATTCACTTAAACAACTAATTAAAATAAAACACTTTTGTTGCTGTTTACAGGTAGGGCTCTGAAATGTAATTAACTTCTGGAATGATTCCATGAATCTTCACATCTTTTCAAAATTTGCAAGTTATTTCCCTGCTTTATAGAGATTATTTTTCTAAAGTTTCACCTGCATTTACTGTTCTGTTTAGTCAGCCTTGTGTTACAAGAGCCACAGTGGTGGATGTAAAAGAAGACCACATGCTTCTGAGATCCCTAAGTAAAAAGCAGCACAGAAGGGTCAGTAACTATTATTAGCCACCTGTTTCTTTCTCTACTTTAGTCGTAGTACCTTTATAGTGATAGTTTTCCAGTGCTTTGTTTTGTACAAATGTTGGTCTCATTCACGAACAGGTTTCCAAAGCTGAAAGCATGTCCGAGTTCTTACTGGATTAGAGGTCACTGATGTCTGCCTTGCAGCTTCAAAAGGCTGCTAAAATGGGGTAGATCCCTGTTGGACCCTCCTTCGGTGTCTGCTTTTAGAGCGTGCAAGTTCAGCGAGCACTTTCAGGCTTGACAATGAGAGACGTGGCCAAGGGTCCTCCAGGAGGATGTCTGGAGATGTGAGCCAGTTGACTGCACATAGACAGTAACGGATGTCATGGGCTTTAAAAGAGCTCGCTGCTGCTGGCAGAGCACATTTCAGATGTTAATTATTGCCAGAATGTAACACAATTGTCCATTATTCTGGGACCTGCCTCTGACAGTGAGTTGTGCACATTGCTCCTGAGGAAGGTGAAAACCCTAAAAGCACAGGAGAAGACAGACTTGTTTACCAACCTTTCCTGATGGGTGTCTGTCCCACAGCCAGGTTCCCATTTTCAGCAGTGTGAACTGACCTTCCGTCAATGCAAAATGCCTTAAGACCAACAAACTCACTCGTCCAAAATTCCTTTTAAAATTTGTTAACCTGACTCAATTTGCTAGAGCAGCAAATTGTTTATTCTGTGCTGCATAAAGATTTATGAACTCCTGTTTTATCAGTGAAGATGAAGAAAAGTGATTGGTCTGCCTTTATAGAAATACTGCAATATTCAGGGTTCCAAAAATTTTCTTGTTTCTTCCTGCGTGGAAGCTCAATAGCCAAAGTAAGTAGAAGAGGGTTTCTGATGTGGTTTGTTTTACATCTTCCATGTGGAATATATGTTGAGATGCATATTGAAAATACAAGTGCATGAAGGAGCATTTAATCAAAATAAACTGAGCTCTCCTAAGACATCAATTACAAAACTAAGTGCTTTTGAAAATGCTAATATATGCACTTGTCACAATATTACATGCCAAAATATTTTTCATCTTTTCATTTTAAAACTACAAAGGGATCACGGTTTGCCTTTTAAGTGAAGTAAGTAAATGCTGTCAACCTATTCCAGACATTATATTAAGACTGATATGTAATTCTGCTCTGTTTTGTAGCCTAGCAGAGTCATGGCCATACCACACATAGCATCACGAGTGAACATGATTAAGCTATGTCAGATTTGGGTGCTGATGTGTTTCTGAGAAGGTTGGCTTGGTGACTACGAAAGGCATTTTTTTGTTGTTATAAATAGCATGCAGTCAAAATGCTAAGAAGATTTTGAGTAGAATTAGATTACATTTTGGATAGATGCTTCCTTCAAAGGAACTAGTCTTTTAATCAATTTTTCAGTTAAGAAATAAAGTGTATTTTCTCCTTGTTTTGGCTTGTGTAGCACTCTCTGGGTGGAGATTAGGGGAGAAGAAAAAAGGAAGAGTGGAAATGAAATGTGCCAAACAGTTCAAAATCTTGGAAATGTGGGAATTTTCTACTTCCCATCAGAACTATGAACTTAGAAAGATTTGGGAGGAAACAGAGATATGTGCCTTTTCCCCCACTGTTTTCAGTGAAACATTTGGGCTCTTTAAGTCTCCCTGTTGTTAGGGCACTGTGCTGCTGGGGATGGTTGTTTTTCAGGTGAGAAGGGAGATTGATACCCTAACTCTTGATCGTTATTAGAAATGTTTCAAAAAATTTCAGGCCCTTTTCATCGCTCTATCTTGTCAAAGACCTGAATTCCATCCTGCCTGCATAAAATCACATTTAGCTACAATATCTTAGCCCTTCGGCCACAAATATATTACCGTGTTGTGAATGCTGTTGAGTAAGGGCTTTCATGCCAGAGAAGTCAGCACAGAAATGGCAAATGAAACAACCTTCTAGATAAAAATACTTCTGTGTCTCCTGGGGTCCTGCGTTACCATTTTAATAAAGCTGGTAAAGGTACCATGGTAACTGTCTGTGATAACCCAGCCAAAACAAGCTTAGATGGAAGAAATCCTGTGCAGGATAGGTGCCAGTTCATCTCTGTTGGAGTTTGCCCTTCCTGGTGCTGTGTGCAATTTGCCTTTTTCCATTAGCAAAGCAAGGAAGGAGTTGTCTACTCTAAGGCTACTGCAGTTCTGCTTGGTAGGCTTTGAGGCTGCTGGAATAATCTCAGCTGCTGGCATGAAAGTGCATTCAAACTTTTAAGTGTGGTTTGAGGAGGATGTTCTTCCTGTCAAATAGGTGCCAAGCAGCAAAATGGAGGTGGAGAGAATGTTTTTTTTCCTTTTTCGTTTTTCTTCTTTTTCTCTTTAACGCAGTTGCACACATGCTGTTTTTATTCAAACTTCTGAAAGCCCTGCGTACTTCCCAGAGGTCAGCATGGCTCCCCATCTCCATTCCCTATTAATTTCCTCTCCATTGGGAATACCAATTAATGAAGATTACAACAATTTAGACAGCTCCCTCCTCCCCCCCACCCTTTTGTCGACGTGTCATGGAAGCTGTCCCCAGCCCTAATAAGCCATCATGGGATCAGCCAAGAATCAGCCTGTGCCTGCCTTGTTCTGTGTTTTCTGTCTGTGCCAGGATGCAAAGAGAAAAGACAGAGAGGTCTGAGTTTAATTGCTCGATATTGTGCGCATGGGAGTAATCCAAAATGGTAAGTTAAATCCAGGTACAGGGTTATTTTGTGTTGCTAGAGCTGTGCTTTGTAATGTGTATCAGATTGATACATGTACGTACCTGATTAATTCTATTAATTTAGAATTGCCGCTGTTAGAAGGTCACATCTAAATCTATCATTCAACAGAGAGATGATATTTTGTTAGACCTTCCAAAGCCAAAGAAACCACAGAAATATCACCGATCTTGTGACATTTTTTTAAATGACAGTTATTGAAGTGACCCCCTCTGTGTCTCAGCGACAGAGAGGTATATGGCATTGCCAGTTTGCACATAGTACTTTTTTTTCTGAGTTTCCTGTCTAATAAGTAGTAATTGAAAAGTCTCTGTCAGTATGAACTCAGCTCTGTCCTCAGCATAAGGAAAATGTTTCATGGAGCGGGCAGTCCTTCCATGTGTTACCTACCTGTTTTCTTTCACAGGTTTCTAACTTACTCCTATCTTCTGGCCTTCAACGCATGGCTCCTGCTGGCACCCATAACTCTGTGCTATGACTGGCAAGTGGGCAGTATCCCTCTGATCGAGACTGTCTGGGATGCAAGGAACTTAGCCACAGTCTTCCTGGCGCTGGTGCTGGTGCTCCTCAGCCTGCACTGTGTAGCTGCATTCAAGGTAACACTGGAAAACGTGCAGCAGAGTGTGTTGTTCAGAATCTTTTGTTCCTTAATCTTCAGAGGAAACGGTTAGTGAGATAGGATTTTCTCCCAAATAAATTGAAGTGAGATGAAAAATACACCCACACAACTCAAATAGGCAAACTTAGCAGACGAGAATTTCCCACTGACTGAATGTCTTGATCTCTAATTGATCTGATCTGAGGGCAAAACTTGGCTCCAGATCCTGCATTCAATTACTGTTAATGATCCAAATCCCAGTGAAGTTAGTTGGAAGTTTCAGTCTCCCTCACAGTCAATAGACTCTTTGTCTCTTGCTTCAAATGGGACTGTGAACCATCATCTGCAGAGCTGTTTGAAAATGAAATCAATTATTATGTCCATAGCTTTACTGTGTTTGCTAGAACCTAAATCTTGGATATGTCTAAATGAGAAGATTTGACATCACATAAATAATGGAATGCTGGAAGTCTGAAATGGTTTGGAAAGTGTTGTTTAGCATCAATATTATACTCTTTCAATCTAGCTTCACAATTCAGCATTTCAGATCCATCATTAATTTTATTGCAGAAAAGAAAGTGAGGTTATACTAGACTTGTGGGGACTAAGAGATCAGTATGGATTTATGCAGAGAGGGCATCTTCATAGGTTATCGAGAGCTGAAAACTTTTCCTTCTGCAATTGTGTTTTGGAAGTGTCTTTAGGTAGGGAATTGGTAAAAATTTTTGAAATACTACAAAAAATTCTCTCTCTTAAACAAATGGCTCATTCAGCCAAAAAATATGAAAGGGGCTGACAGCTTTTTTAATACCTATGTTATGCTAAGATGTGCAGGTCGTGTGCTGGCTTCAATTTACCCTGACAATCTTCTCTGTGCTCCTGATAAGAGACAGAAAGCGAACAAAACCAGTTTGAGGCTGCAGAGTCATTAATTTAGGTTATACATTGACAGTTGCTATATGGGAAATACGGAAAAATACCTTATTAGGTATTCACTAGTTCTACCTGCATCATCTTTCATTCCTCCTGCTTTCAGTACTCACTGCTAGAGATATTCCAAAATGTTTGTCTTAGACCTAATCCTATTCTTGGGGAGGTTAATGATAAAATTCTCATTAGCCCAGCACTGAGCACTTCTGAAAAGCCTTGTCCCATTTTCTTTGAAGTTTCAGTTTTCTTGCTCTCTATTTCTTCCTGTGTTTTAAGAATTGGTCCTATGTGGAAGATTAATGTTGCGGGTTTACTGGAAAAAAGTCTTTTGGAATAATCCATTTTTTTTGTGTGTGTGTGTTATTTTATTTTGAATAAAATGACAATCCAGAAGAATTCCTCTGGGTAAATAAATTGTTTCTTTTGTCAAAATTCACTATCACATTTTCTTTCCTTCCTGTTCTTTGTTCAAGAAAAAGGGTTTATGAATAGCTCTGTTTGACTCGAAACTGCAACTTCTAAATTTTGGTGAGAATAAATTCACTTCTCTCTTCTAATCACTGTTAATGTTGTGTTAAGCAAAGTAAATTGCAGTCTCCAAGCACGTACTTACGGGATGCTTTGAAATCCATCTTTTCAATTCCCTTGTGCTTATGCCTGAAAACCCCAAGCACAGCACAATTGGATCCCAGGTGATGTGCTTTGGTTCCTGAACAAGGTAAAAGCAGAACCATCACGCAGTTTGGACCAATAACTTCAACTGGCTCCAGCTCAGCAGCCCCCAGCAAACTTGGTGTGACCCATGGAGCTGGTGGTGCCACATGGGCGCAGAGAGACCATCCTCTGTCCCGTCCTCGACAGCTTGTGGCTTCTGCAGTTTGTAGGCAGCATCAAGTGGTTTCTCACCTTCCATGTCATGTATAATGTTCTGCTGTCTTATTGAAGCAAATGCACAGAACTATCTTAGCTGCCACTTTCTCTCCATTCTTTTTTCAAAACAAAGTCCAACCTAGTAGTGGTAGCTCGCAGTTTTCTAAGGAATGGTTTCAGTGTGAACAGACAAACAGTTTGTGTGCCTTTCCTCTGAGTGTTTAGGCTAAGAGAGGACGCCAAGTCATATATTCATTCGGGTTGGTGCTAACATTTTCTTTTCTGCCGCCTGTAAAATGGAATATGAATGGTTTTGGCAAAATTCACTTGTGCAGTGAACACTGAATTGGTGGTTGGTGGCAATAGGTGGGGTGTGTGTGCCTCCACTTCCAGAATATATAACATGGAATGTAATTAGAGAATGCGTGTATTGGATTTCTGCCTTTGTTGCCACTGAATTTTAAGCAGGTCTAATTTGTTGTTGACACTTGTGATTAGGGTAATAGCCCCGTTGGCATGTATGCGTGGTGCTGATAAAGGACATCTAAGGCATGAAGGTTTCTTGTTCCATTTCATTTTCTGAATATTATTATACCTCAGTGGGAGAAGAGAAAGTGCAGGGTTTCTACCCACAAGTGCTTTGCTTGGAATATGTCTGTGTATTAGATCTGGCAGAAATTTATGCTGAAAGCTCCAGAAATAGAAAAGGCAGCTGTCCGGTTTGTTATTGGCTAGAGGCGTAAAGCCCACTCCTCATCCTCTTTGTGTGTTTTCATCGTTCTCCTTCTGGCTTAATGAGGAAGCGGCTTGATAAATCGCATTATTAATTCCTTGTATGCAACCTTCACTACTAACCTCCAGTTGTTATTAACCCCATCGTGCACCTTCCATCCTTGGGTGCCAGTGCAGGTCCCCTTCTTTTGCGTGCGTGGTGCTAATCGCTCTTGCTTATCGACCAAAGGGGAGGGAAGGGGCACGTGCCCCGCGCGCGGCTCCCTGGCACACATGATAGTTAGTCTTCCAGATGCCATCGGGACGAAGGAGAAGGCCAGCTCCTTGTCACACGGTCAGCAGCCTCTGCTGTGAGAGTGAAGGAGCTCTCCACTATCCAAGATTTTGTCCGAGATTTTTCCAGTGACTAACGGGGCAAAGTTGCAGTCTGGTTTTAAGCATCTCCTGGAAATCTTTAGAGACTTGGCTATTCAGCATGCGTTTGGTCTGGCTTACTCTGTGGTGCAGTCTCAATCAGAAATCAGGGAACATTGTAAATGCCTACATCCCAGAGAGACAATAATTATTAGGAAAATTATTAGGAAAAAAAGGAAGGGATTTTATTATTTTATTTGTGCTCAAAGACAACCTCAGCTACAAGGAATGACTTGAGTCTCCTTTCCAGTTTGGAGACCAGGTAGATGGCAAAACCGTCAAGCCAGTTACAGAGCCAAACAAATAATCACTCTGATGCTTCAGGTGGCGACCAGGGTGACCAAGGGCTTATAATAAGCACTGCCTTTCTGTCCTGGGGCAAACAGTGAGTACCTGGAGAAACAGTGGGAGGGAGACAATTCTTGGCATATTGTCAGGGTGACAACTCTTTCTTTGACATGGCATAATAATTCAATGAGCCTGAAAGGAAGAGTCTTTGGATGTTTGAAACGCTACTCTATATGGCATTTTTAGGTCGCTGCTTAATTACCAGTGTGATTAAAATGCAGTTAGTCCTGTAGCTGTGAATTTATGTACAGCTATACAGAGCACTTGATGGATCAGATTCCACTTTCCATATGGTGTCAAAACTCATGGGAGAGTAGCCCTGGCAGGGTCAGGACAGGGCTGACTGGAAAAACCAAGACATATGTGTAAGGGAGTCCTTCAGAGCAAGGTAGATCCGGGAAACTCCTGCAACACTGTGGCTCTTATACCTGGCTGCTGTGAAGGAATTTAATACACTTCGTTTCGCTCAGCCCTCATCTTGCCCCTAGACTCCCGACCAGTGCTACCAAGTGGCACTTCACAGCACAGTCTATTTGATCTGCAGGATTAAACAGTGATGTGCAGCAATTTGTTCCTGTCTGAGGAGGGAATGTTACTTATGTTTTAGATTAGAAAAAGATAACCTTTAGTGTCCTCTTTTTTAAAAAAAGAAAAAGAAAAAGAATGTGTTTTGCTGTTGTATACAATATACCTATGTACTGTAGCTACATATGAAGCTATGATGATCTTCAGGTGATAATTGTTATATGCAACTGAGGTAAATACTATTATGGTCTTCTATTCACTATGTTTGTTTGTTTGTTTTTACTTCAGATCTAATTTTGGTCTAATGCTGCTTCTTAATGTTTCTCTGCAGAGTGCTCCTTAGCCAAGTCGAGGCAATTTATGCCAAATTATTATGGCTTTTAATTCCTGTTGTAACTGGCATCATGTTGCCGCTTACCCCGTGGTTTGTATGTACGGACCTCATCTAAGCACATTCCTCAGTCCCTCACAGACTGTGTTTCTTGGCTGTCAGTGTTTAATAACATCACAAGGAGGGAACATATTTGTGTCTTCCCTTTGCGTGCCTGCCCCTGTTCTTTTTGCTAGCTTCCATTATATGTATTCTGTCATGCTATTTACTTTACCCTGCACTCCTGAGACCTTTGCCTGGTTTCCCAGGTTTTGACATTTCATTAATAAATCACTGTGTATAGACCTTTCTGGGGAACAATTGCCTTTTATAATATTCCACAGTAGTAACAGCTAGTTAAAAAGTATGCCTAGCCGAATTCATATGCCACAACACTTCCAGAACAATATACCTGCTTCAAAGACATTGCAAGGTGAATAAGGCTATTTATCGACTGAGTACATCTGACGAGCTGGAAAGCACAGTCATTTTCATAAAAGGTCCATTTAAAATAAATCCCGCTTTCATTTTCCTGAGGGCCCACTTGAATTCCTTGCACACAGAGAAGGTCAGTACTGATGTTCTTAATCCTTAGCAGCGAGGGTTTTTTCTGTGCTGCTGCTGTTAATGTTTGCTTCAGGGAGAGAGTAATAAGCCAGAAAGACTCTGTTTAGTAAAAGCTGAAGGAAGGGGGAGGCCCTTGCAGGCACTCTGCGTGCCTTGCTAGCTGAGTTTCTCCTTTGTGCAGCGCTGCAAGCTGAGCAGCTGCGTATGGAAAAAACACCAAAGCCTTCCCTGGGCGCTTGCGC